ATGTTCTGAAGAGCCACAGCTTCATTTGGGAGGGAGGAGAAGGACCCAAAATCTCTGGCTATGAAATGCCTCGTTCCCACCAATGTGGTGCCAGTGCTGTAAGTTTTCTCAATCCGGCACTGGTTCCACACGTTTCCACTGCAAAAAAATGGCCCTGGGCCAGAAGAAATAGCTCCAGCACAGCACCACAGAAAAGCTGGTCTCAGAATTTGGCACCGTAATGTAAGTGGGACGGGCTATTGCATCCAAACCTTCCACATACCTGGTCAATTCAGTCAACAACTGATATAGTTTAGTCCAGGGGTCTCCAACTCCAGTCCGGGAGAGCTACTATCCAGTAGGTTTTCTATCCTACCTGGCTTCTGATGAGCCACACCTGCTCCTGGTATTTACCTGAGAACAGGTGTGGCTCATCAGAAGCCGGGTAGGATAGAAAACCTACTGGACGGTAGCTCTCCAGGACCAGAGTTGGAGACCCCTGGTTTAGTCTAATATTGCTGGTACCAGCTGTGAAACAACTAGCCAGCTGATTAGCAGAATAATGTTGCTTCGTTTTTTTTATTCTGTGAAAAACGAACAATCAATCTGCTGGCCAGATTTAATAATGAAGTATAAATATGTCCGAGGTTGAATAAATAAAATATTGTGGCAGACAACAAAGTTCAGTTTTTAGCAGTTTTTAGCATTATTGCATGATCCTTAAACGGACAGCAGTAAAACAGCAAGTGAGAATAATCTAACACACTGACGGAGGGGCAAAGAGATTATGAGACGGACTGCGAGGTTTAGTTTGTAGCAGACTCTGCGTGATCCTTAAAAGGACAACGGTAAAACAGTGAGCGAGAATAAACTCACTCACACACATAGATGGGGGAGACGAAAACGGATACAGGCAATAGAGACGCCGCAATGAGTCGTACTCCGGAAACTTTTTTTTTTTTTTCCGGTTCGGCAAAATAAATTAAAAAAAAAAACGAAATACAGAATAACCTTTACTTTCAATTCCACCTACGTAACATTCCGGTTCCACAGGCAGGTTCTCAAAAGCACCAAGTGAGAACCAGCCTAGCACCATCACTAGCATCAGCTCCGTGTTGATGGAAACGAGGCAAAACATGCAAAAAGTACATTCAGGGCCTCAGCTGATGAAACCCTGTTTTTGGAATGTTTTGGCATCATTTAAGAGGCTTAATAAAAACTCCAGAATTGCACAAACTATGCAGAATTAAGGTAACTGTCGTGCAGCATTTGGGCCGTGTATGTCTCTGAGTTACTCTGAGCTCCTTCCTCTGACCCGCCGTAATCTTGTAACCCTCTCGTTTGTGTGTCAGTGCGTACTGTGGGGGCCTGTGGCTGGCCTCAGTCTGCGTGATGTGCAAGATGGCCCGGCTGCTGGACAGAGAATCCGTGTACTGGCGCTACAGGGACGTGCTGGACAGGGGGAGTGCTGCCTTTGACGAGCTGTTATGGAACGGTGAGCTGGGGTGGGGCACGATTGGTGGATGTGGAAATGTTGAGGTGAGTGGGCGGGGCAGGGTGGTGGGGAGGGTATGGCCATAGATAGCTGGGTGGGGTTGGGTTAGGGTTAGGCAGTCCTAGTGAGGATGGATGGGGCGTGCTGATTGGGTGGGTTACAATATCATGTTTATCGTCCTGAGTGGAGCTGTGTAGTTATCCTAAAGTTAGGAGTTTCAGATTTTGTAAAGTTAGGAGGTTTGTGTAATGCACTTTTCCTGTCTTAAGTTAGGATAGGAACAATAACTTGGGACCTGTTCCTCTGTAATGGGTTTTTTCCTAAATCATATCCTTCCTCTAGTTACCATGGTTACAAACAGTTAAGATGGAACAGACAAAACAAAATGACAATTCAATCAACTAGGCAAGATCTTTCTGTTGTGACTTAGTGTCACAACTAGTGCAACCAGTCAGATGTTATGCTTTGTTTAGAGTCAGCCCATTGAGTTTAATGGGTGACTTTGACAGATAATTTTAATGGTTGCTGGTATCATTGAGATTGTTTGAATTACAATCATTTAAATAATCATTTGAATGACAGTATAAAATGTAGTATAAATGATTGTTTAAATTATATTAATAATTTGAATATCGTCACAAAGCCCCCTCCTTTCTTTTCTAAAACTTATTCTTTGCCTGACTCCTTTGAAATGTTTTTTATGGACAACAGAGTAATGAACAAGGTTTAGTTTTCATGACAAATAATTAATAATGGCTGGTGGTCCAGCTGTCGCGTAAGAGCCCAGAGTTCACTTACAAAAAGATCTAGGAGAAACATACAAATGGCCCTGAGGTCACTTCAGGGAAATCCCCACTGTCCCAGCCTGTGATATTAGCGCAGTGTGTAACCCATGAGGATGAATACGATTCCCAGTCCCACTTCACCTCAGCCTGTGATATTAGCGCAGTATGTAACCCATGAGGATGAATGAGATTCCCTGTCCATCATAGCGGCTGCAGGCTAAACCTGAGGGCTGTAACTTATCCTAGTTCTGCATTGGTCCTGCTATGCTTGTTTAACAACCCGGTCTTTCACTCGTTTTGTCTCCATAATGAACACAGAGCCCTGGCTCATGTGTTGGATGTGGATTGTGGATATTTGTAACCCCGCCCCTGTTGTTGTTCTCCTGCTGATAGGTCAGTACTATAACTATGACAGCAGTGGGCGGGACCTCTCCAACAGCGTGATGTCAGACCAGTGTGCCGGTCAGTGGTTCCTACGGGCGTCCGGCCTTGGTGAAGGGGAGTACCAGGTCAGTCCCTTTGAGTGTGCCCTCTGCGTCACTCAGTGAGTGTGGTGGATACCCCCTCCCCTGCCTCACCCCCTCTCCCACCCCCCACAGGCCTTCCCGGTAGAGAAGGTGCATCGCGCCCTGAAGTCCGTCTTTGACCTGAACGTGTTGCGCTTTGCCGGGGGCCGGATGGGGGCTGTTAATGGCATGCGTCCGGAAGGCGTTCCTGACCGCTCCAGCGTCCAGTCGGATGAGGTGTGGGTGGGTGTGGTCTACGGACTTGCTGCTACCATGATTCATGAGGTGAGTGAGTTGGTGTTTTGTCACGTTTGATTGCATTTACATCTCAGGTCCACAGTAAATAATAAGTGCTGATAGAAAGACGCCTGAAAGCAGGAGTAATAAAACGTTATCGGATGTGTGGCTTAGTGTAACAGGTGCAGGAGAATGGGCAGCACTGCCAGCCTAATGACCCACTCAGGGTTCGTACAGTCACGAAAATCCTGGGAAAATCATGGAATTAAGAAATCACATTTTCCAGACCTGGAAGAGTTATGGAAAATAAAAAATATCAAAGTTTTGGGAAAGTCATGGGGTTTTAGAGAACTACATTTTTTGAAGTATAACACTGTCTCTCCCGAGCAGTATCTTGATTATACTGTCGTGAGTATGGAAGGCCGTGAGTATGGAAGGCCGTGAGTATGGAAGGCCGTGAGTATGGAAGGCCGTTGGGGCAGAAAATGAGAGAGAATGCATCTCAACACTGCATTTTTTCCCTATAGACACGATATTTTTCTTCTTTAAAGAGACGGCACTTTCCTAAGGAGCACTGGCATTAAAATACACGTTTAAAAAACAGTGGTGACGTACATTTTTATACTGCATCAACACAGTACAAATGTGTGATTTGTAAAAGGTCTTTCAGTACTGAGATATACTTAGGCCAATACTTTTCCATTCAAGGACAATGGGTTCAGTCTGTAATCCATTATTAGTTGCTGTATCATGTCTCTTATGTTCTTATTCTTATTATCATATGATGTACACTGTATGTGTATAATATAATAAAGGGAGAAGATATCCTGATCAGGATAAGTGGTTAGAAGGTGGATGGATAGACTCATGGAATATAGAATAAACGGGGGGGTGTCTGTGTGCCCATTGTCCACCCAGGGAATGGTACAGGAGGGACTCTGCACTGCGGAAGGCTGCTACCGCACGGTGTGGGAGCAGCTGGGCATGGCCTTCCAGACCCCGGAGGCCTACTGCGAGAAGGCCATCTTCCGCTCGCTGGCCTACATGCGCCCCCTCAGCATCTGGGCCATGCAGCTGGCTCTGGAGCAGCGCCGGCAGGAGGGTGACGGGGAGGCCGGTCAGCTCGCTGCGGGCGGTGGAAGCAGCTGAGATCGTATGGGGGGCCATACGGGGAGCCCTGCAGAAATGTCAGAGGACATCACTGTAACTCTGTGAGCTTGGAGTAACTCTGTGAGCTTGGAGAGTCAGACTGTCAAAATCACGTAAACTCAGATTCCTATGAAAACCAGACAGGTTAAGAAGATGATTGGCTGAGTCTAGATTGCCTGATTTATTACTCTGACTGTTATTATTATTACACTTGAATGCTGTAAAGATGCTTAAATGATTTTACAAATGGCATGTATGACACTTTATCACTAATCAAATGCAGGAGTCTTTTATTGCTGTAATATTTAATGTAGCAACGTTCATGACATTAAGGAAGGAAAAATCAAAATAAAAATTGAGAATTTAAGGTGCTGCGTATTTAAGCATGGGTCAGGGTTGCTGAGAGAAACACAGCCCCTGTCACAATGTATGAGACCAAAGGGAATCTTTAAGCTTTTCTCAGCAAAATCGTTATAGTAATGGATGCCTGGCCTGCCTTTATTAAAAAAAAACAAACAAATGAGTTATGCCAAAAATACAATGAGGAGGAAGGAGATGTTTTGGTAGAAAGGCTGTGATTAGTGTTACCGGGTCTTTTTGCAGAGCACTGAGGTGTTGCAGGTCAGTATTAGCAGATCCCCAGGCCGCTATACACCTTTCACAGAACAAATTCTCAACGTTTATCTTTGTTAGAATTCTATACTGTCCCAAGTGATCTGCAAAAAAGCATCTCAATAGGAAAAAGTATATTTGATAGATTTTTTTTTTTTTTAGTACACCGTATGCTCAAGCATTCTTAGCTGTAAATGCGGATTCGGAGATGGGTGTGAGCATCTGTGAAGGAATATTCCAGAGTAAAAAATGATCAAAATTGATCTTGTAGGGATTAAATTTGTATTTGCATGTGTTTATGTAACTGTGAGGTTCTGAAAAATATAGAAAGTAATAAATTATGTATAATGACATCACTCCACTATCATGTAGTGTTTCTAATATAAGATAGCAAGCATTCTGATTTTACCGATACCATTTACTATTACAGCAACAACTTCAATGATTGCAAATATCTAACTGATTATAAAGCATGATGTAACAGTACCATCTTGTGGCTGCTACTACCCTATGACAAATCTACAGGGTAATGGTGGCATCTGGAAAACAGGTGAGTCGCTCTTGCTGCCAGACGGGCTTCACCTACTGTGCACTTTGTCAACACATAATCATAACCTCATAAATGGATACTTCATGAGGTCAAATGTCATCTACAGTCACCCTTTGGTGCCGGTACATAGTATTGTTGGATTTTGAGGTAATTTGTCTCAATATTTGATCAGCTCCAGTAATCTACCCATATAATGCCTCTGCAAAAAAAAAAAAGATCCATTAAATACTTTGTAAGTTATCTTACAGGCATATAATATCAGGCATATATACCCTTTTTTTTGCTCTCACAATGTGATACTGCTTCAATTTTAGTGCAATATCTCAATCTGACCAGTTCCAGTGTGTCACCCTGGGAATGAGTCTGCAAAGTCTGAGAAATATCTGTCATATACAGTGGGTATAAAAAGTGTACACACCCTGGTTAAAATGCCAGGTTTTTGTGATGTAAATAAATGAAACCACAATAAATCATTTCAAAACTTTTCCCACCTTTAATGTAACCTATTACCTGTACAAAAACAAACATCTGTTAGGGGAAAAACATAAATAAAACATACAATAAGTTGGTTACAAAAATGTGCACACCCTTAAGCATGCGGTGTTTGGATAGCATTTGCTAAACGGTACATAAAATAATATGTTCTAATTTGTATGTTAATCGCTGTGTACATGCACAGAAAGTCACAATTATAAAAGGAAATAGTATGCCAAATACATTAAGCAATGAAAATTAGGTACATTATGAACATTGTGACACAGGTAAAGCGACAGGTAACACTTTAGCCAGGCACTCTAGCTGACAAACACGAGTCGTTTTTAAAAAATACCTCATAAAAATCCACAAGCGTTAGCAGGCGTCGTATGATATACATAATATAATGATGGGTTGAGAAAAAGTATAAATTATTATGCTACTTTCATGTACTCATACCTAAAACTACATGTGAAAACAGGAAAGCATAATTGCCTACTTCCTGTGTAATATATTGCAATATTCTATGCAATGCTAAGCTTCCATTGAGTAAACTTGTATCTGTAGGAAGAAGACACAACAGATCCTCTCTCATCCCAGCCATGCTCTTGCAATTCAGATCTGCACCAGCAAGTTCAGGGACAGTTTCTACCAGGCAGAAGCATCAGGCTACTGAACTGCTGAAATACTGAACACTTGAACTATGAATTTCTTTCATACCCTCTTTAGAACTACAGTCACTTTAAAAAATTGTAGTCTTTTAAAACTTACCTTTGTAGATATGTAGGAATGTGTGTATTGTGTGTGTGTGTGTGTGTATATATATATATATATATATATATACACACACACACACACAAATGCACATGTAGTTACTATAGACTTGTACTTCGACTGGACTGCAGTCTTTATAAGTACTTGCAAATGCTAAACACTGTCTACTGTGCACCTTGCTCTATTTTATTTTACTATTTACTTTTATTAGTTTACCACTTTATTCTACTTAATTGAAAAAAATTAAGTGTTATTTTACTGTTAAATGTTATTTTATTGCGTAAAGTCGAGGGGCTCTGAGTCCAAGGAATTTCATTAGCTACAGGTAACGATGTTACGTTGATATCTTGTATATGATAATAAATCTGAAACTAAAACATGTAAAGTGAAAGTGAATGTAGCCTAAGTTCCGAAAAACTACATTTTGTATAGACAGAGCTGCGTTAAACAAATGGGTGAAATTTGCCTGTCATGTAAAAGGTTCTTTAGGTAAGAAAAAAGTAATCAGCACCTAAAGGATGAAAATGAATATCAAAAGTCTCAATATTATATTAATCTTGTTCAAGTTCGTCATTAACTCTGATGGTATGTATATTGTTTAATATCGTTTAATAATGTTTAATAAACACAATTCCGATTATCTTAATCATATTTGAGGGTGTGTGCGTATATCCAGTGTCCCAGTGTTGTAATTTTAATAAATACAGCTCTCCATGCTTCCAGGTTAAAGTGCCTATTTTATGTGCTACAATTGTTACGTGGCTTTTAAATTTTAGTATAATTATTTTTTGTCTTGCCTGTATTCAGGTGAAGTCATGCTTATTATACACGTGTTTCTTATAGCGATAAGTTCACTTTTAAAACATATACGATTTGATGAAGGCAGTAATACATCCATTAAACATGTAGTCTTTCTGATCATGCTTTTGCTTTCAAAGTTTTTGATTTTTTTCCGTTTTACAATGCTGATTCGAGATCATTCGTTTTTTCCAGTTTAATAGCAGCTGAACCACAAAATATTTTCATCGATTTTGTTTCGTTGAACAAAATCTAAGCCGGAGCCTTAGTTCGATTCCCACTTTACCGTCAGTCTCCTTTACAGTAAACAGGGAATATTGCCTTAAGAGGTGCGAACTCGTGACCAGAACTAAAAGCAAAAGCATGATCAGAAAGACGACATGTTTAATGGATGTATTACTGCCTTCATCAAATCTTATATATGTTTTAAAATGTTGCGAAATTTGCCTTTTGTGTAGATACAGTTCCATAGGTAGACGAACCTGAAATAGCCCGTTATTCGGACTTTTGGTCCATCCTAAATGTTGCGCGGCCAAATGCAATCACGCGATTTTAGGGGAACTTATTTACCGAGGCTTACTTTCAGAACTTAATTTGGATTAATTTCGATAAGCATTCACTTATTAAAACGCTTCGACTGACTTACAACTTTATCTGGACAGTTTATATAATAGAACGTGTGCATTTTAGTAGAAAATAAGACAAACACAAACGTTTATCCGTTCCCAGTTTTTAATTATTTCTGTTTAGCTTGTGTATAGTTTATTATTTTGTAGCTGAACAAAAATTGTGATGGATTAGGTAGGGGTAAAGAGGACGCTGTCGCGGAATCAGGTGCAAGTGACTTTAATAAATAAAGTGAAAGCTGTCTGAAGACTAGAAGGTTACTGGCGAACGTATCGCTCAGAATAAACAAAAGGAGCAGGCTGGATCGTAGTCGTGGGACAGGCTGGGGTCGGGCGATGTACGGAGTCGGTCTTGGGGGCTGGGCAGGTCTCGTAGTCGGGGTACAGGCGGAGGTCAGGCGATTAACGTCGGGCATCAAAGGGGCTGGACAGAAACTCGGGGTCAAAACGGCAGAACAACGGTCAGAGAACACGGAGAGACAAAACCAGAAAAAACGCTCGAACTCAGGAATAATTCTTGAAGATCTCGCATTAGGCTGCAAGATCCGATGGCTAAAATAGTCTCCGTAATCTAGAAATGATCTGCAACAGCTTGCGGTAGGTGGATGCAAAGAGGACCGGAGAAACCTGACAACCCGGTATAGCGGCGTAGAGCTGACAGCTCGTTAAAACTGGGAAGGTAGGATCAAGGAATCCCGGAGGCGTGATCTTCGTGACGTCAGTCGGGGATCCCCGGGGTCGATCCGTGACAAAAATATTCTTAAACTTACAGATACTATAGACCATTCTAAAAAAATGGTTATTTGTACATTTGATTTTGTTCATTTCTGTATTACATATGAAATTCATATGACTTAGTTTGATGCATGGCCAGAAATCCATGGAAAAAAGGACTTAAACACTCTTATGTGAACACTCCCAGGTAGAAGCCAGCAGGAATAAAATGCTGTTAATTCCTTGCTTTTTAATGTCTGTAAAACACTTTGAAAATCTTGTGGTTAAAAAAGTGCTGTATAAAGATTGATTGATTAATCGATTGACTGATTGATCAATTATTGATAAATTGATTTTGGTTAGGGAAAACTCACTTCAGGATGACAATATATGATGTCTGCATGTTATATCACTTGTTACCTGTCTGGCCCAAAGTCATTTTCACCTTTAAATCCATCTGGCATCATTCCACATAAACACATTGGTTGGCATTACGTGATGATTTCCAGGCAGGAACTCAGGGTGTTAAATACTTTAGGCCAGTGAAAACTCACTTCAGGACAACAGCAAATGATGTCTGTAAGTGATACCACTTGTTACCTATCTGGCCCCAAAGTTGTTCTCACCTTTCACCAGTTATAAAGGGAGCTGTCAGGCTGGAGAAGGAGGAATTCTGAACTTGGTTAGAAGTAGATGACAGATACCGGTAATGGAATGTGGCTTTAGCAGTTACTGATGCACAAAACTTGGGTGAGGGGGGATGAGGCCATGGAGAAGGACTTTCGCTCGGCCTCAAATAGGTTCTGGCACTGTTGTAAGTTGCTCTGGAAAAGAGCATCTGCTAAATGACGTAAATGTAAATGTAAATGCAAACCGCTCAAGAAGGGGAAGCAAGGCTTTACCCATGCTGTTTACAGCAGGGATGGAGAACTGTTGAACTCAAATGGGGATGTAGTCAGTTGAAGGAGTATTTCAAGGACCTCCTGAATACCACTGATATCCTTTCCTGAGAGCTGGAAGACTCTGCATGGCAGACTTGGGAATTCTCACACATCGTCGCCATCGTTGTTTACATTCCACCACGGGCAGCGGCGGAAGTAGCGTATGACGTCATCCATGAAACAGTCACGAGGGTTCAGACCCAGCATCCTAATGCTTTTATTGCAATAACAGGGGATTTTAATAATATTACTCTTGCCTCCCATCTTTCCGGGCTTGTACAGTATGGGGACTGTCCCACAAGGGAAAATAAGGTATTGGATCTTTTTTATGCCAGTGTGAAGGATGCTTACAGTGCATCTGCTCTACCACTGCTTTGTCTCCAGCCCACATACAGACCTTGGGTTTTGAGGCTGCCTGTTACCACCCGCTCATTTAGGAAATGGTCTCCGGAGGCAAGTTAGTCTCTCAGGGACTGTTTTGAGCTTACAGACTGGAATGTGCTGTTGGAGCCTGAGGTTCACAGCATGGATGTGGACATTGAAAGCAGGGTGGATGTTATCACGGGCTATATTAACTTCTGCAGAGACACTGTGGTCCCAGTAAGGTCTGTTTGCTGCTTCCCCAATAATAAACCCTGGATTACCAGTAACATTAAGGATCTGCTTAATCGGAAAAAGCAGGCATTCAGGGAGGGGGACAAGGAAAAGCTTAGGTGTGTGCAGCGGGAACTGAAGAGGAGCCTAAAGCAAGCAAAATTGAATTATAAGAAGAAAGTGGAGTGCAAATCACAGCGGAATAACACCAGAGAGGTGTGGAGGGGAATCAGAGACATCACTGGCTATTCTAAGAAGAATAGCCAAGCCACGGGAGGTGATGAGAATAGGGCCAATGAATTAAATCTGTTTCAAAACAGGTTTGATTAGATGGCCAACACCCGACCTGCTTTAACATATGTCATCTCACCTACCACTTCAGCTGCTGCTCCTGCCTCACCAACTCTTTTAAACAACCAACCCTCCACCATCACTTCGGATGCTGCTACTGCTCCGTTATCTACTCTGTGGTTACCTGTATGCAACAACTCCCCCACCATTACTGTTGTAACCCCCATTATATCTGGTCGCCTGCCCCCATCTTTCACAGCCGATGAGGTTAGGATGGAGCTCAGACAACTGTAACAATGGAAAACGGCAGGTCCAGATGGTGTTTGTCCAAGATTATTGAAGGACTGTGCAGCCCAGCTAGCTGAACCTCTCCAGTGGCTCTTCAACACCAGTCTATGACTAGGCAAGGTCCCGGTGCAGTGGAAAACATCCTGTCTTGTACCAGTTCCCAAAGTAGGGCGACCGTCTGAGATAAACAACTACCGCCCAGTGGCCTTAACATCTCATATTATGAAGACCCTGGAGCATCTGGTCCCTCACCTTATGAGACTAGAGGTCACTCATGCACTGGACCCCCTCCAGTTTGCCTACCAGGAGCATGCAGTGGAGCGGTGTGGAGGATGCAGTCCTTTACATGCTGCACAGGACACACATACCTGGCGGAGCCAGGATGTTATGTGAGAATCCTTTTCTTTGACTTCTCAAGTGCTTTTAATACAATCCAACCCCTCATATGAGACACAAGTTGGAGGGGATGGGTGTGAACCCCTCCCTGACATCTTGGGTAGCAGACTACCTGAGAGAGTGACCTCAGTTTGTCAGACTGGGACAGTGAGGTGCAGCACTGGAGCCCCACAAGGGACAGTTTTAGCACCATTCCTGTGCTCACTCTACACAGCAGACTTAAGATACAGTACAAAATCCTGCCACATGCAGAAATACTCTGATGATACAGCTATTGTGGCATGTATCGAAAGTGGACAGGAGCAGGAATACAGGGACCTTGTGAAGGCCTTCAGGAACTGGTGCAGTAGAAGCTGCCTCCAGCTTAACACCACCAAAACCAAGGAGATGGTGGTGGATTTTAGATCTAGGCCACCTCATCTGCCAGTTTCCATACGGGGGCAGGACATCGAGGTGGTGACCTCTTACAAATATTTGGGGGTCATTTTAGATGATAAACTGGAATGGTCCCTAAACACAGATTCTCTTTATGAGAAGTGTTGTGGTTTTTCCTTCTCCGCCAAATCAGAAGTCAGAAGCCGCTGGTGTAGATCCAAATTCAGTCTTTATTGCAACAATGAAGTTACAACCAAGGCCGGACACTTCCAAGTGTGTCCAATACTGTTTTCACCAATTTTTATACAAGTTCTTATCACTCAACAATATCTTGGCACTTGAACATCATCATTCCTTCAACCATTCACCATCATTGCTTTTCCCCTTAATCCACACCCCTAGGTGATGTTTGTCCATCATTTCTTTTACTATTTGGTCCCTCGGCCGAACATAATGGTGACGCGACCATCTCCACTTGGTTTTTTAAAAATGCTCAGCCGTGAACTTCTGGTGAACTCAGGCGACTCCCTTCCTTCAGTAGTAAACCTTGGCAGCGTCAGCCTGTTGCACATTGACAAACTAGAGGGTTAATAATATATTTGTCCTTTAACATAGTGATAAAATATACACTAATAAAAGTTGATATTCATAGATTCAGAACTAACATAAAGTAACTACCAAACACTCTTAGGCTAATTCAAGGTGCAAATACATACTCAGTTGATTACATTGTGTTGATTACATTATAATGTTTACATTGTAATGATTACATCATGGATATTTGGCATACTTTTTAATAATATCATAATACTATTCTATGTTACATAATGCTAAATAATATTCCATAGAAGGGGCAGAGTCTCTTCTTTCTGTGGAAGCTGAGGTCCTATGATGTGTGTGATAACATGTTGCACATGTTTTATCACTCAATGGTAGCCAGTGTCCTTTTTTATGCTGCTATATGTTGGGAGTACAGCCTAACAGATAAAAACACCAAGAGGCTGGACAAGCTGGTGAACAAAGCCGGCTCAGTGTTGGGCAGGAGGCTTTAAAACAGTGGTAGAAAGGGCCACATTGAACAGATTAAAAGGTATAATTGACAACAGTGGGCACCCTCTCCACAGCTCATGGTTGGGCAGAGGAGCAGCAGTGGTAGACGGCTCCTCTCACTGCGCTATAGAACTGAGCAGTTTAAGAGGTCCTTTGTCCCCACTGCAATTAGACATTTTAATAGTGCTCTCTGACCTCATCCTCCCATTCCACCCTCTGTCATTTATCTATTATAACTGCATTGATCTTTATTATTAGTATGTGTTGGAAGCAGCACAAACTATCTGAGTTTCAGTTAATAAACAGGAAGGGAAAACACATAGATGTCAGGTTGCCAGGTTGTATGAATCTTCCTCTTCTTGTTCCAGAGCGGCTGGTGGTGACGGGTGCAGATGAGCCTGTCTGTGCACAAGCTGGAGAGGATGTGACTCTCAGCTGCTCTGTGGACACGCATGGCAATGTCAGGAAGCTTCAGGTGGAATGGAGAAAGACAGACGATGATGGTGACATCTTGGTGCTTCTGTATGCTGATGGAGAGAACAGACCAGAGTCACAGGATGAGAGATACTCTGGAAGAGCTGAATTCTACACTGAGGAAATTCCCAAAGGAAACTTCTCAATGGAACTGAGGAAAGTCAGGACTGAAGACATAGGAGAGTTCAGGTGTGAAGTCCACTCAGATACTGATTCTGCCAGTACAACTGCCAGGATAGCAGCACTGGGTGAGTCATCCACAAAACAGGATTTCCTAAAGCTCCTTTAAATATTAAGCACTTTTATTGTATTGTGCGTCTTTCAACACCCATTGGCATGGTTACCACTTTGCTGACCATTTTAGAGACTGTTTGCAATAATTTCTAATTATTTATTCCGTCATTTGCTCACCATGAATATATCCCTGGTTACTGACATGGTGTTAAAAGTCAATGTAATTAATTTACCATTTTAAAGGTTTTTAATAAAGTCAAGCCAGCATCTTTTATATATATATATATATATATATATATATATATATATATATATATATATATATATATATATATATATATATATACATTAAAAGCTACTCTTAAGGATTATTTAGATTGCTTTAACTGTTTGTAATATTTTGTAATTACAGTGGTACCTCAGAACTCAAAATTAATCCGTTCAGAACTCCGGACCGAATCCTAAAAAGTTCGAGTTCTGATCGAATTTCCCCCTTAAGAAATAATGGAAAACCAATTAATTGGTTCCCGGCCCCAAAATATTACACCGAAATATGTTTTTTTTAGCATTTAAACGCAAAATGAACCGGATAAAACAAGAAAAGCATGTACTGTATTAAACACATCTAAGCACATTTATCAAAACAGTAATTTTTAAAGTAAAAAAATAAATGTATCCAAACAATGTGTCCTGCCTCCATCATCCGCTCCTTCCGCGTGCCACGCCCCCTCGTTAACCCCGTGTGGAATCCCAGTGTGATCAGCTGTTTCTGGTTGTTGTCATTAGTCCTCTGTATTTAGTCCGCGTTTCAGTTTGTTTCCCCAGTCCGGTCATTGTATTGTCCGTTTGTGTTTTGCCTGCCTTACCTGTAATTAAACCCCGTATTCCCCGATACCCTGACGTCTGTGCCTTTGTCTCCGTTCAGTCCCTGCTGGGCAGGACAATATTATTATAATTAAATGTATCAACGGTTTATTATTAATTTTAATATAATTAATAAGAAATCTTTATTTTAAATGTATTTTATTATATAATAATAATCACTGTTATTGTCTATCATTGTCTAAATGTATTTTTACTGTCTAAATATATGTATTCAGCTAATGTAAACATGCACGATACTATCACAGTGAATGCCAGGCTGAGACTGCAGCGTTACCCTTTGTTTCCGCTGAGAGACGTGCCGCTTACAAGCTCATTTCCCTGCGCTTACAAGTTATCTTAGGTCAGCGTTCACGGTTTGACTTCTGAGATTCAGATCGAATTCTAGGTATTTTTTTTTTTAATTGGTTGGTTCGACTTTTAAGAAATTCGAGTTCTAATGAGTTCGAGAACTGAGGTACCACTGTATTTATTAAGTTATCACCTTTTTGGTTGTTCAATCTGATTTAAGACTCATATACTCTCGCCATGAATATAGCCCTATTTGCTGCCATGACCTTAAAAGTCAAGTTACGGTAACATAACATTAGGTGAGTCACTAGAAACACTGGCTTTAACATGCATCTCAACATAGTTTCGTGCAATTGAATCACATGTTCATTCTCATCAGGGTCAGTGGTTGTGCTGTAGACTGATCTTTATGCACATCCATAGTCTAACTGGATTTAGTCAGTTTTATATACAAAAAAATTATATTTTTGCTTCAGGCTTCCCCTTTAATGCAATTTTCAGCTCTAGATAAGATGTATTTTATTAGAGCGATGCGATCTGTGCTTTTATTTTCACTTAATAATAATGTAAGTCAATAAACAATTAAGAATTATGTACATAAAATAAATTTGTGCTCCAGTTTCGTACTGTAATTATTGAGCCAGACATGCTGATTATACTCCATTATGTCAAGCCTGTTTGGAAAAATAAACTCTGGAACTTTTTTTTTAGGTTATTCAGCCCTGCATTGGTTGATTGTGTTGCTGTGCATTGCTGTCACACCTGCAGTCCTACTTACTGGTGGTTTCTCTGTTTGGCATTATATAAGGAAAAGTAAGTAAATTTGAAACATTCAGTTTAATTAACCATTGTAAAGCACAGATAAAACATAAAGTGAATTACTGTGAAGTATGTGCTCTGAATTTCTCGTAATTTTGATGAGGTAAGTGGATCCATGTTTGGAACCACTTATCCTGTAGAGCAGACATGGGGTATCAGGCAGGACTGTATTTACACAGGGTGCCTGTCCATTGCAGGGCTTAACTGTGATGTCATTAACATACTTTGATCATGTGTCTCTGGTAAGAAACACATATGTGTGAAAATGAGTCATTTCAGAAAGTTTTATTAAAATAAACCCCTGCAAACTAAAACAATGAACCAAAGCTGATGTCCTCACTGAAATTATACTAAAATAATGCAGGAGCTGCATCTGGTGAGACTGACAGTCTGTACTGGGTGTCTGTAGGTGAGCATGCAGCAGAATGACCATCTGAGGATGGCTGTAGATCATTAAACTTTGCATGAACTATCATATAATGTTAAAGAACTTATGGTTAAATTTGGTTCTACTTTCTGCCTATAGGTAAAAGCCGACAGGCTCTGCTGAGTCACTGGTCACATGTCACAGCTCCACCAATCATGGTTTGCGCAGCATTCATCCTGTGGGGTGTAACTGAAGGTGAGCCTGTTAAATTTGGATTACACATTGTTGTATTTTGACTAATTTAAAGAATGCCTTAAAATATGACACATTTTAATTATAAAATGGGTTTATGAAGGTTGGTGGATAAAGACCCAGGAGAAATCAAGAAATATCACAAGAAAAGTTTTGTATTTGCGAATAATGTCTATAGGCAAGGTATTGTGCATTAAACTACCCGATTAACAGCTGCACTAGGGAGTTAATCAAGAATAACTAAAAGAAACAGCCATTTCTTTAACTTGAAACTACAAATCCAGTTCAGTCCTTCCAGATGGCTAGAGGGCAGTCGAAAAACTAGTGGAATTCATCAGGCGCTTGTGCAGTGTTCAAGAATGTATGCAAACTTCCGTCATCATGTGACCATGACAGCCACCAGGTGGCCACCAGTGACAGCTTACCCTTGCCCATTGAGACTGTAATAACGTGCGTGCTGGGTAACATACCTGGCAGCTGTCATGGTCACATGATGACGGAAGTTTGCATACATTCCCGACCAATGAACGAGCGCATGAAGAATTCCACTCTTCTTTCCCTCTGCAAGTCTTCCATTCCTTCACAGAATCACAGTTACATGTGTACAGTGAAGAATTTAACATAAATGTGAAGCACATATTTAATTGTTTTTGATTCTTATATAAGATTGATAAACGTGTAAATCAATGAATGTAACCTCATGTTTTGGTATGCATCCTACAAAAGATTATTTATATTGGCAATATAAATATTTTTTGTAGGTTTGTGTAGTTTTTATTTTATACTTATTTAGAATGAGTATTTGCTATTCTTGATTACCCAAAAGTATAAAGACAGCAATAAACACACCGTGAGGAAGCGCCACCTGGTGATTAATTGTAGAATTTCAAATGCAAGCAGTCATGTTACCATTAATGCAAGATCCACTGAGTTCAGCAAATCATGAGGAAGCTGTGACAGAAAAACTGTGATGCAATCTGCAGAACTGCTTCTAAATACTCCAAAACATTCCCTCATTGTTATCTTGTGCACCTGGTGTTTCTCAGGATCCACAGGAGAGGCTGCCACTTGTACTGTCATCAGTCTGCTGAGTATCCTGGTGCTGTTTAATATAGATCCAGATCGACTACATACACGTATGTTTACTTATTTTGATATGCTTCCTTCTGTTTCCAGTATACAGTGTGAAAAGAAATTAACAGTTTGAAAAAATGATAAAATGTAATAAAAATGATTATTACAAAATAATTAAAATAAAGTATGGCATATTTCCATATGATTGCTGGTTCTCCTGCAGCCTAGTTGCTGTTGGTATCAAGGTTCTAACAGGGCACTTTCCAGCTCTTATATACACTGCCCGACCAAAAAAGGTTGTAATTTCTATTTAAATCAGCAAATAAAGCCAATGACTGGATCATTATTACAGGTCAGCAACATTATGCAGTAATAAAGTAAAGTTAGCTGAGTACCTGAATCTACTGAATGGGCAGGTTATACCATCAATGGATTTTTTCTTCCCTGTTGGCATGGACATATTCTAGGATGAGAACGCCAAGATTCATCAGGGTTGAATTGTGAAAAAGTGGTTCAGGAGAATAAGGAATCATTTTCACACATGAATTGGCCACCACAGAGTCTTGACTGTAACCCCACTGAAACGTTTTGGGATGTGCTGTCATTACTACAAGATCTTGACTAGAAATTAATGCAAATCTAGATGAAAATTAATGTTGATGTTGCACAAGCTTGTGGATATAATGCTATGAAGAACGTGCACCATAATCAAAGCTAAAGGTGGTCCAATGAATGAAATATTAAAGTGTGACTTTTGGCAGGGCAGTGTATATTTGTTTTTGACAGTATGAGATTAATATCAAGGGTCCATGTTGTGATGTGTCAGACTCTGAAACACTAAATTTATGCAAGATAAATAAGGGAGTTTATATTTTAATATGAAATTGGTGCAGGTAATAATTTTAAACTCAATGCGCACAGAGATACAAACACAAAGTGAAAGAGAAGCGCAGGGTAAGCAAATCCTCAATGTGCACAGAGTTACAAACACAAAGTGAAAGAGAAGCGCAGGGTAAGCAAATCCTCAATGTGCACAGAGTTACAAACACAAAGTGAAAGAGAAGCACAGGGTGAGCAAATTCTTTTCATGATACAAATAACTATTTTTACAGATGTATCAAACAGCGTTATATATCTGGCTCGGACAATAGGAAGCACCATCATCATCATGGCTGTATGCACAGGTAAGTTTATCATTAATGGATATGAAACATCAGCAGTAAGTCAGGAGAAACTAGCAGTTTCTGGTAAAATATTAAAGGTAGAACAGTTAGGGCTACCAGCTTTAAATCAAGGCAGAGCTTAGCTGGGGGGGCATTAGGTAAAAACATAAAATGGTAAGGAGCTGTATCTGCATATTTATGCTGAAATTCTTGTGTGCTTAAGCATATTTCAGTGTATAAGTGTGTGTTATCCCCAACCCTTGTTGTGTATGGTTGCTGCACTATTGACACTCATTTGGTGGCTCCCCCTTGTGACAAACAGGTTCACTCTCTCCCATTTTGACTGTCATAATGGATGGCAAGATCCCATCTAGGCTCAAACTATTTCTTATTTTGGTTTTATTGACACCATTGAGTGAAAAGACACGGTCAGCACTTGTATTGGAGTGCAGTCGTATGTGAGCAAGTTTGATGTTTACTGAGGATGTGGGGAACCTGTTTGTTCCAGTGACCGATAAAAACTGGGCGGGGCATAAGTACAGCTTACCACACCACAGTAAACAGCTTACCACACAACGGTAAACAGCTTACCACTTCTAACACTGTCAGGGGACTAAACACAGCCCTGTATTCTACTGTAATGAGAAAAGCATTGCAGCTTATCGAAAATAGGCACTGGGTGTCTGTCAGATTACTGCACAGATCCACTCGCTGCCTGTGAGGACAATTACCTTAATTATAATAGGAATGATCTCAATTTGTCATTGTCACTCATCCACACGCATGCAGTCAGGAAATGGCCGTGGTCATTTAATTTTCAATTATATTAAAAGAGTCTTCGACTCTTTCTACAGAGGCATCAAAAATGGAAAAACAGCTGAAGCTCAATTAAATTAATTAAAAGTAAACTCTGCAGAAGAGCAGAGTACAGAATATGAAGGCACTTAACAGTATCACTTAAGCTTTCCCATCTATGACACGACTATGAAAAGGGTCCCATTCATAACATCAGCTAGCTAGCTTTGCCATAACCATCAGCACTGGAACTATTCCTTTGCTAAACTAAGTTCTGCTGTATCTTGTTAGCTGATGTTACTTTGTTAGAGCTTTGCTTATCACACCACTTTCCTCTTCATCTCCGAACTGTATCTTGCATCTTTGGAATAACGACAGGTTCCAAAGGTCTTAGCAGGTCACACGCTAACATGCAGCGCTCTAAACCAGCATAACCAACTTTTCAGAAAGATTAATGTTGCAGTTGGATTTTCAGGAGAAATCACAATATTAGCATAAGAGCACGAGATTGGTCCCGATTGCGGAAGTGGCACGGTCAGTGCGGGAGAGTTGGCAGCCTTGCACTGTGGTGCATCTTTAAAGATGCCAAAACACACATCAGTGTTTTAGCATGAACTGTTCATTTTTCACCTCATTTCTGTACTGATGATTTTCTCACTATCAGAGCTGCTGGTTTTAAAATACCTTTAAATCAGAACTGGATTCGCACCTGAATCATCAGGTTACTGTATAAAAGGTAAAACAGTGAAGGAACAACAGTGACAGAACATACATTTGCGGCAGAGCAGAAACTAGCATCATCCACAGCTCTGCAGGACTCGAGTTTCCGACCCCTGGACCAGAACAAATGATGGAGGGAAGGTGATGGAGGAAAGGAGGCTGAAGTGAAGGAGGAAACTGCTTTTATTTTGTCTGAGTGGCATTTGTTCCTGCTTATGGTCACTCTGTAGCTGTGTGGAAGTATGATTTGGGGCCTGCATTAGGATAGTGTCCCT